AACTTTTGGCATTTTTGACTTTTTTGTAAGAGAAAGAATGTAATGACTATGAATTGAATATGATGTTTTGTCTTATTGGGCTAAAAAACCTATTTTATTTTTTGTGTCTATTTTAACCCAAAAAACCTTAAAACCAACTTGCCAAACGGAGGCTTAATGACTTTATTAACCAATCAACAGTCAACTCATTTAACTTTAACTTAGGTCTCGTTTTGGAATCGATAATTTTAGTATTTTTTTTTTTTATCTTTTTGACTAAAATATGAGTTAAAAAAAATTAATATGTTTGAAATATAACTTTTTAACTCTTTATGAAAAAAAACATAAAAAAATGGAGAGAGAAATAAATGTGACTTTTTTTATATTATTTGTTGATTTTTTAACTTTTAAATTAAAATATATACTTCCCAAAAACATACAGGTTAGCCTTTGTTGATTTTTCATTTAGACAATTTATCATTTAGATATGATTGTATCATGTCACTCAAAGTTATGGGGTTGTTTGGAGTGTCCTAAATAAGTGTATTTTTTGTCTTTTTAGATTAAAAAGTTGAGGAAAAAAATATAGATGTTTGGGTTAATTTTTTGACTTTTTATAAAAAAATATGTATTAAAAAATTATATAAACAAGTGTGTAGGAGAAGATTGAAAAGGTGTGGGCCACAGCCGTGCAATCTGCACAAGTGAAATAAGAGTAAGAAATTATTGGTTACTTTTCAGGCATTGCACTGGACAGTTTTGTTCGGCCCGTGGGGGTCATCACGGGTACCATTTTAATAATCTGAACCATTCAATGTATAGAACTCGTCGAGTACTATATGTCTTTAAAAAATCATGTTGATCGGATATCGATAGCTATCTGATCAAATTTGTTTTTTTTTCAATCGTTAATTATAACACCATCCATTTGTTGTACATAACTGATTTGATCATGCAGTTATCGATATCCAATCAATGTGATTTTTTACAAACATATAATACTCGACGAGTTCTACACATTGAACGGTTTAGATTATCAAAACGGAACCCGTGATGGGTCTCACAGACCGAACAACAACCATCTAAAATTACACCTAATCATTTCATTTTTGTCAACAAACACAGCACAACAGCTGCACATAGATGATATCAAAGTTGTACTTTTGTTTAGAAAATTGATTTTTTAATTATTTTTTGATAAATAGTAATATTTTTTTAATTTTTTAAGTAATTTATTAACTTTTTATCTTTTTCAGGAAACCAGCCCTAAATTATATTTGATCTTGGTACATGCAAAGGACGTACATAAGAGTTATTGATGACTATAGCAACTTACAATTGCCAACTTTCGTCTTCTTTGAAGGATATAAATGTTTGGTATAATTTTTTTGGCTATTTTAATTATAAAAAAAATAAAATAGATTAAAAAATTAATAAAATAAAATGTCACATTCAAATCATAATTATTCTATTTTTTCTCTCATAAAAGTTTAGGGTTGGTTTGGGAAGTGGGTTGGCTTTTTGATTTTTTGACTTTTTTTGCTATTTTAGCCTGGGTTAAAAAGCTTGATTTGGGAAAGATTTTTTAGATTTTTGGCTTTTTTAACTTTTTTGTGAGAGAAGAGTATAATGATTATGGGTTGGATGTGATGTTTTGTTGGTTGTGGCTAAAATAGCCTATTTTGTCTTTTATGACTAAAATAATCAAAAAAACCTACAAACCTCCTTTCCAAACGGTGCCTTAAAAAGTCAAAAAACTCATCTCAAACAAGACTTTTAGCTCCATCCTAAAATAACCAAAAAACTAAAAAACCAATCCATGTCTCAAACGAAAATGAGAGGGAGATTTATAAGCTGAATTGAGCCGTGGTAATGGCTGGGCAAATTGTGGGCCGTGGTGATGGCCGGGCAAATTGTGGGCCAAACACAATTGGGTCGTGGTAGCTTGGGTTTGTCCGCAAGGGTTTTGCTTGGTTAAGGCACAGGGCATGTAGGACCGAGCTACTTGGCTTGTTGGTGCGGAAGCCGGTCTACTGGGAGTTCGGCCGAGATGTCTGCCTGTCTCCATGGGTTCCACAGTTCATGCCTTAGACGGCTAACCGGTTCAACCTACCTTAAGCTCAGCTTGCCGGAATGCAGCCGAGTTTGATTGTACAGGAGCTCGGCGAATGGTTCATTAAGGTATCCTAACAGTTTGGTTAGGTAGTGATTGCTGGATTTGTGCTGACAGATGGGATAGCAGCACCACGTGTCGAGAGACTAATGGGAGTAGATTTGGGGCGCAGAAGGTATATAAGCGAGTCTGCGCCCCCCATGCCTGTGACAGATGAACATTTGGTGAGATTTACACTAAACACAACTCAGTCCTCTCTTTCTCTCTCTATTCCTGTGTGTGTGTCTAACTTGATCGTCGGAGGGATTTTCCGGCCACACACCGTCGGGTAGCTCACCGCTGTTGTGCTCGCAGGTCGATCAGACAGACTGAAGCTTAGAAGAAAGGAGTGCGGGCTTGCCTGAATATTTGTTCCCCGCACAGAAAACATATTAAAATTCTTTGAACCCTAACATTTCATATTCCTTTTATGGCCAAAAAATAGTGTTAAAGAACTTTACTAAATAAAATAAATAAAACACTCACAAATTTTATTTTTTTTTGGAACAGTAAACACTCGTAGTTAGGAGTTACCATTAATTCAATAGTAAAACTTAGCCTAATAATTTTGTAGTTATGGGTTCAAGTCACAGGATAGCCATTTGAGCACTATGTCGAAGGTTAAGTGTATACCCAATCTTTTCCCTCCTAAAAACACATTAATATGTATTAATTGAGCATTATTTAGTAAACACTCACAGTTAAACCTAACCTTTCAGATTCCTTTTCTGGCCTAAAAATAGTGTTAAAGAACTTTACCAAATAAAATAAAGGGCAAAAAACATTCAATCCCATGTAATTTTGGATTATTGCAAATGACTCGCTGAGATTTGAAAATATGCACACTTTTTCTATGATTTTAGACTGATCTACAACTGTTATATTGTTCATCCAAAGAAACGGCAAGTGGGCTGCACATGCCTCATTTGCATGTATTGGTCCGTTTGATAGCTTTTCCTCAAAAAATAGTTTGAGAAAAAGACCAAAATGACCTTACCATTCATTATATAAGACAATGCTATGAAATGGATGTTACACTTCACCCAAATAAGAGGAAAAAGTGGAACCATCCTGTAACAATTAGTACTTCCTCTCCCTTTTATTTTAATTATTTTAATTTGTTTAGTTTTTTAATTATATTTTTATCTTTTTTTTTATTTAATCAAATATTTATTTGAACAATTAGTTTTTAATTATATTTTTATATCTTATTTATTTTATTTTTATTTTTTATTTAATCAAATATTTATTTGTTTAATTTGTCTTCCACTCTATAGTGCCGTTTTCATTTTTTTAAATTTTATTGTTTATTTTTCTTTAAATTTTATTATACAATTTATTAAGAATATTGAAATGTCTTCTGCAAATAATATTGGAGGGGAAACACTCGATTATATTGTATTAAACTTCATTATACAATTTATTTTTTTCTATTATATTTTTATCTCTTATTTATTTATTTATTTTTATTTCATCAAATATTTATTTTTCTTAATTTGTCTTCCACTCTATAGAGAATTTTTATTTATCTATTTTATTGTTTAATTTTCTTTAAATTTTATTATACATTTGTTAAGAATATTGAAATGTCTTCAGCAAACAACATTGAAGGGGTAACACTTGATTATATTTTATTATACAATTTGTTTATAGAATCATAAGAAAATGATATTTTCTTTAACAAATCAGTTTTATTTTTTTGTAGAAAAATAGAAGACAAAATTCAATCAAATATGATGAATTGGATTTCTCATGACATAATTTTTTTAAACTATTTTTAATGCTAAAATATATGTGGCTATTTTTAGTGAATTTTTTGTTTTGTATTAATTTGTATTATTTTTATTGTATGATTTAAGTTAATAAAAATATAAAATAATATTTGTATGGTTTAATTATTACTTTTTTATTTATACAATTTAAGTTAACACTTTTGTAGAATTTGAGTTAATATTTTTTTATTAGTTTTTACGTTTTTTTAGTAAACAAAAAATAATATTTTTATGTTCAAAAAATAATTGTTATTTACATTGATTTCAAATCATACAAATTATTTTAATTATGTAAGTTTTTTTTTATATATTTATGGAATTATTAATTTAAATTTTTATTAAATATGTTAAATATTAGTCTTATTTAAAGATTTTGTTTATTTTTTTAATAATATTAATTTTATAAAAATTGAATTTATATATTAAAAATTATATGCATTTTATTAAAAATTGAATAAAAATTATTTTGTTTTTTAATTAAAAAAGTGAGATAAATGATGTGATGTAATATTCTGTGTAGAGAAAGAAAGAGAGAGGAGAGTAGGATGTGTGACAGAGAAACAGAGAGGAGATAAGGAAAATGTATATGTGTGTGACGTGTGTGTGGGTTAGTATATGTAAAGGTCAATTAGGCTTTTTGATATAAATATTAACAACGTGACAATTGAAAATCAGTCGATGTCCGTATATTTTCAAACGTAACGAGTGATTTGCAACCGGAAAATGCGGGGCACCCCCAGTACGGGGTGACCCCAGTGACCTCCCAGCCCACGTGGTTGTGGGTGATTGGTCAGAAAGATAAAAGAAAAAAAAAAAAAAGAAAACTGGCGAATAGTGTTTTGCCACGTCAGTGGGGGTCGACCCCCAGTGGGGGTCTCTAGTAGGATTGTTTGCAACCACCCAAAATCAAAAGTTAAATGTTTTTTCTTTAAAATAATGAGTAATATTAAAGATTTTAAAAAATTTATCAACTTTTTATCAAATATTTCACATGGATATGAAATCCGTATAAAACTCACATTATGTAAATTCCATATCCTATGATATTTGATAAAATTTTGATTTTTTTTTTTTTTTTATTTTTTTTTTTTTTTTGGGTCGTAGCATTTTCCTAAAATAAATAAATAAAACGCTCACAGTTAAACCCAACTCTCAAAACCACACCATTATTGCATCAAGGTTGCAGTACAGCAATCGAATTGAACCGAAACTCCACCGCAGCCTTGTCCTCCTCCATCAAATCCACCGTTGGGCACATTCGTCACAACCCAGAACAGCTAACGTGCTAGATTGTTAGAAAAGGTCAAAAATGTCATCACTTGAAGCCTCAAGTAGTACAGAGTCTGAGGGAAGTGAAGAGAGGTAAATGAGTTAGTCATGCCATTGCTGGATGAGGTGTTCAGTCTCACTTTCAGGTATTCTCTCTCTCTCTATATATATATATGGTAGAAAATGGTGCTTAGGTGGTTGTTCAATGGCTGCCGATGAACTGTTTGATGAAAGTTCCAAGTGGGTTTTGATTAAAATAGTTGATGACTAGTGGAACCATATCTTTGTTTGGAAACTTCAGTTCTGGAAACTTGATATGATCTGATTATTTCCTATATCTAAATTTGCTAAGCTCTGTTCAAATTTACAGAAACAAATGTTAAACTAGGTGGAAACATTGCTAGCTAGTCAGTCTGTTGCTGGACATGGTTGGCATGAAATGTATTGTTTTCTTGCATTTTGTTTGGATGAAATGTATTTCTTGCTTTTGTTATTTACCTATGGGATTTTGTGGACATGGGACTTGTGCTCATATTTGTCAACTTCTAATCATAAACAATATCATGGCAAATTTTTACATAGTCCCATTGATCTGTGAGCCCTAGGCTAATGGAGGTGGTGGTGATGACTCGTTAAGGGGTTAGGAGAAACGGCTCTTGCGTGTTATAGGATATAGGTCAAAGAGACGGGATTTCACAGGGTAAATATGGTATTTTCAAAAAATTGAATGCTGATAATGTAACGATAAATCTCAGGAAGGGTCATGTGATTTCCAAAATCACAGGGATACTAGTTTATTAGTGGGAAACCCCAGGGAGTGTCAGTGTAGTTTACCCAAATGTATATTATATTTATCGTCGTGCTCCCGACGCATCATATCATAAACTTTTTGGAAATTGCAATGTCGTAGTGTCTGTATTCATGTCCCATGTCTGTCATATAAGATATGTACACATAGATTGATCCACGCATCCATGCAACTGTCTTAATGTATATATATTTGTGAAGACTACATTTGATGCGCTGTTTGTCTTGGGCAGTGAATATTTTGCATTTCCCATCCACCTTGTTCAGCTGTTTGTCACATCTCAAAGACAGGAATGGCCTTAATAAGATAGGTTCTCCTTCTTTCAGTTATATAAACGGAAGAAAATACAGCAGCCAGAAATTTTCAGAATCAAGAAGTAAAATTCCTACTATCAATGGACAAATTTGCAATTATGCTGGTCATATGCCCAAAATTTTTTGTCCCAAAACTTATTCTGTTCTTCAATCAAGTGGTCTTCAGCACTGGTTCAAAAGCTGGCAAGAACATAGGAAGCATAAACTGACAGCAAGCACTTTTGGGGGAGCTATTGGATTTTGGCCTCAACGGAGAGTCCAGCTGTGGCTGGAGAAGCTTGGGGCAATTGAACCATTCACTGGTAACCTGGCTACCTGTTGGAGCAACATCAAAGAAGAGGAAGCACTTGAAAGGTACAAGCTGATAACAGGGAATGCCGTTTTATTTCCTGAATTTCAGATCTATGGGAAGAACCCAGATGATGACTGGCTTGCAGCTTCACCAGATGGGGTTGTTGACAAGCTTGTTTATGGTCTGCCCTCCCGAGGAATTCTCGAAATAAAGTGCCCATTTTTTGGTGGCAATACGAGCAGTGCTTCCCCATGGTCACAAATCCCCCTTTATTGTGTTCCACAAGCTCAAGGTTTAATGGAAATCATGGATCGGGATTGGATGGATTTTTATGCTTGGACTCCTAAGGGGAGCAGTTTATTTAGGTTATATCGAGATGTAGAATATTGGGACGTCCTGAAAATAGCACTGTCGGATTTCTGGTTGAAGCATGTCGTGCCAGCAAGGGAGTTGTGTAGTAAATCCGTGATCACAAATCCCCTTACTCAGTTAAGATCACTAAGGCCAGCACCTAGGCATGAATTATGTAAATACCTTGTACATGAAAGTAAATGTCTTGTTAATAACTCCAAGTTGTTGATGCGTGAAATTCATGGAAAATTGCAGAACTGAAGCACGTCAAGTGTTTTCTGAGTTTAATTTAAATTGGAATTTGGAGAGTGACTGCTTCGGACGAATGAAGATCTATGAGTTTGGTATTTCATATTTATCTGGTGTAAATTGATTGATATGAAAAGAAAGATTTATTACTACACATTAGTTTATATTCATCAAAGTATAGCAGAATAATCTTTGAGGTGAGCTACCAAAGAATGAGTTCCTTTCCCTTTATTTAAAGGTTTGGTTTGGCTGATAATTGCTTTTGTTTGAAAGACAGACAGGAAAATGCAAAAGTTAGCTGTGAAGGTGAGGTTGACCTCATTTTGTGTCATAACCCGAATCCATCCCTAAAAGTTTGGGTATTCGGGTCATAACTGGCTAGTAATCCATAGATTACCGAAGGCCTCAAATAATCATACAAAATATTTATGCTAATGGGGCCATATCATATAGAATATTTATGCTAATGGGGCTATAAACGAAAGCATATAATAAAGAGAAGTCCATTGAGCTGTACCAATCATGAGCAAAATCATAGAATTAACCACGTAACACAATAATACATATACATACCCATCAAAATTATAAGGGTCAAAGGAAAATCGTACATAACATTTACAACCCAAGACCATGAAAGCAAAAACATAATAGGGTCAAAGTGCAGTGTGAGCCAAGACAAAACTCCATCTCGACGGCATTACTCGATTGGGTCACAAAAGGCTCCTGAAGCTGACTCTAGGGGTGTGCTCTATACTGCTGATCACCTACATGTACATACATAAAATTGGTTGAGTGAAGCTCAATGAGTAATAATACAGTAAAACAGTGTAAGTAGATGATCATAAAGTTCTCTTAATATCCATAATCATATAAACCAAGCGACCTTAGGCCCAAGCATATAACAAGCGGCCTCGGGCCCAATTATTTAACAAGCAGCCTCAGGCCCAATCATATAACAAGTGGCCTCAGGCCCAATCATTTATCAAGCGGCCTCGGGCCTAATTATTTAACAAGCAGCCATGGGCCCAATCATTTAACACATGTCATATAATATCAATGAAGGTTTATCATTTCCAATCAATTCATAATGTTAGGACCAATCACCGTTCATGGTTCAAGATACGCAACAAAGAGTATAAGTGTACTATATTACTACTCATAGTGTGTTTGGTCTTGCGGCGTTGCCTCCGGCACTTGACCTACACAAAACATGTCACATACACATCCGATAAATCATTTGTTTCAATTTGTACACTTTGCTTTAATTTCTCTCAAGTGTTCAATGCTAAACTTCTCTACATGTGAACCGTGTACAAAGCATGTTCCAAAGATGTACCTTAAACAACCCTAAATATTCATGACTTAAATTAATGTTTCCTACAATAATTTTATATGTTTTTCATTGAACATATCATGTTTACTTATTTAAGATTCAAGGAAATAGCAAGAAACAAAAGGAAACTAAGTTAGGCTAGGAATTGACATGAAACGGTTAAAAGAAAATAAGTAGCTTTCACTAATTTGAGCATATCTATTTGTGTACTTAGAATTTGGGTATGAGACCACCATCATTAGAAACTAGACTTTGAGGGCTTGAATTTAGGCTCAAGAATCGCTTAAAACGGAGTCTGGATGAAGGAGATATGCCTTTTTTAAGTTGGGCTGAAACAGGGGTTCCGCACGAGCGGAAATCTTCACTGCTCATGTGGCGCAAATCCGCTTGAGCGGAAAAACTGGCCGCTCGAGCGCCCAAGGAGCATAATCAAAACTTATTTTTTCTTCATGTTCCGCTCGTGTGGTGCCCGTGGCCGCTCGTGCGGTCTGGGCAAACTCAAATAGTCTGAAAATGGTCAAAAAATGCCAAACCTTCCAACTCATTTCCAAGCTCAAATTCATGCAAAAACAATTCAAAAACATGATATCTAAACATGATACAAGTGTAATTCTACATTAAAAATACTAATCTTGCATCAACATCAATTCCATAGTCTCATCTTTTTCCCATATTCATACATTGCATAAACAAATTCAAAGTATATAAACCATGAATAATCTTACAACAAAACTTATTTCCATAGATCATCTAAGGTTTGTTTCATGGGTCAATCACAAGAGTGGACTTAAATCAACAAAGATGGAGAGATTAGGGTTCAATCTCATGTCTCAAGCTCAAACCACTATACAACTCAAAACCCTAGCGCAAACCCCTAATTTCTTCTTGATTTCTTGACAAAGATGAGTTAGAATCAAAGTTTGTGAGTGATTTTCCATACCTTAGTTCAAATCTATGGTTTGCCCCTTGATTTCCTTCAAATCCCTAGCTTTCTCTTCTTCCCCTCTCTCTCTAACTCACACTATAGAGCTCTCAAGCACAATAAGGAACACAAGAGGGCAACATATATGTGACTTAACTTTAAAAATTTCAATTTAATTATTACGAATCATAATTTTTCAAAATCTCACTAAAGGCTCTAAAAAGCATGCTAATCATAGATAGGAAGTCAATTTTTGTTTATCGTGCCTCTACAGCTCTAAATTTCAGTTCAAAGTTCCAATTGCAACAGATATTCCTACTTTTAATAAATATTTTTCCAAATTCACATATTTCCCATACTTAAACTTGTAAATTCATATCAAATACATAATCACATATATAATTAAGCATAGTACAAGTTGGATTATCACATTTTGTATCCAGGCAATGTGGGATTACACTTCACAATACTATCCTAACTCTACAAGAACCCTATGTTGTACAGCCGACCACTGTTTCACTCTGCTGGAAATTTGTGTTAATGTATATAATATGATAGTGGTGTTGGTGGTAGATAGTGGCATGTATAGAATATGATAGTGGTGTTGGTGGTAGATAGTGGCATGTATAGAATATGATAGTGGTGTTGGTGGTAGATAATGGCATGTATAGAATATGATAGTGGTGTTGGTGGTAGATAATGGCATGTATAGAATATGATAGTGGTGTTGGTGGTAGATAATGGCATGTATAGAATATGATAGTGGTGTTGGTGGTAGATAATGGCATGTATAGAATATGATAGTGGTGTTGGTGGTAGATAATGGCATGTATAGAATATGATAGTGGTGTTGGTGGTAGATAATGGCATGTATAGAATATGATAGTGGTGTTGGTGGTAGATAATGGCATGTATAGAATATGATAGTGGTGTTGGTGGTAGATAATGGCATGTATAGAATATGATAGTGGTGTTGGTGGTAGATAATGGCATGTATAGAATATGATAGTGGTGTTGGTGGTAGATAATGGCATGTATAGAATATGATAGTGGTGTTGGTGGTAGATAATGGCATGTATAGAATATGATAGTGGTGTTGGTGGTAGATAATGGCATGTATAGAATATGATAGTGGTGTTGGTGGTAGATAATGGCATGTATAGAATATGATAGTGGTGTTGGTGGTAGATAATGGCATGTATAGAATATGATAGTGGTGTTGGTGGTAGATAATGGCATGTATAGAATATGATAGTGGTGTTGGTGGTAGATAATGGCATGTATAGAATATGATAGTGGTGTTGGTGGTAGATAATGGCATGTATAGAATATGATAGTGGTGTTGGTGGTAGATAATGGCATGTATAGAATATGATAGTGGTGTTGGTGGTAGATAATGGCATGTATAGAATATGATAGTGGTGTTGGTGGTAGATAATGGCATGTATAGAATATGATAGTGGTGTTGGTGGTAGATAATGGCATGTATAGAATATGATAGTGGTGTTGGTGGTAGATAATGGCATGTATAGAATATGATAGTGGTGTTGGTGGTAGATAATGGCATGTATAGAATATGATAGTGGTGTTGGTGGTAGATAATGGCATGTATAGAATATGATAGTGGTGTTGGTGGTAGATAATGGCATGTATAGAATATGATAGTGGTGTTGGTGGTAGATAATGGCATGTATAGAATATGATAGTGGTGTTGGTGGTAGATAATGGCATGTATAGAATATGATAGTGGTGTTGGTGGTAGATAATGGCATGTATAGAATATGATAGTGGTGTTGGTGGTAGATAATGGCATGTATAGAATATGATAGTGGTGTTGGTGGTAGATAATGGCATGTATAGAATATGATAGTGGTGTTGGTGGTAGATAATGGCATGTATAGAATATGATAGTGGTGTTGGTGGTAGATAATGGCATGTATAGAATATGATAGTGGTGTTGGTGGTAGATAATGGCATGTATAGAATATGATAGTGGTGTTGGTGGTAGATAATGGCATGTATAGAATATGATAGTGGTGTTGGTGGTAGATAATGGCATGTATAGAATATGATAGTGGTGTTGGTGGTAGATAATGGCATGTATAGAATATGATAGTGGTGTTGGTGGTAGATAATGGCATGTATTTCAAATCTATGGTTTGCCCCTTGATTTCCTTCAAATCCCTAGCTTTCTCTTCTTCCCCTCTCTCTCTAACTCACACTATAGAGCTCTCAAGCACAATAAGGAACACAAGAGGGCAACATATATGTGACTTAACTTTAAAAATTTCAATTTAATTATTACGAATCATAATTTTTCAAAATCTCACTAAAGGCTCTAAAAAGCATGCTAATCATAGATAGGAAGTCAATTTTTGTTTATCGTGCCTCTACAGCTCTAAATTTCAGTTCAAAGTTCCAATTGCAACAGATATTCCTACTTTTAATAAATATTTTTCCAAATTCACATATTTCCCATACTTAAACTTGTAAATTCATATCAAATACATAATCACATATATAATTAAGCATAGTACAAGTTGGATTATCACATTTTGTATCCAGGCAATGTGGGATTTCACTTCACAATACTATCCTAACTCTACAAGAACCCTATGCTGTACAGCCGACCACTGTTTCACTCTTGTCCCCCCTTGCAAATTTTGATAAGAAAAAAGCCTCCAACAATAGGTTGATGACCACTTGCTAACCGCACCTTGCATCATCTTTCACAAATTGTCTCCTCTCAACCTGAGCACGAGCAGCAGAAAAACTGCTTTCAGAACCAAATTTTAAGGCCTTATTGCCATGACATAATCCCTCTGCACAATAAGCACTACAATTCATTCTGTATAGCCTTCCACATACAGAACTGTTGATATTCTTATTTTAGTTAGAGAACCAGTAGTATTGGGAGTGAGTTCATACATATCCAAAGTCATATTCCGATGAAACTGAACCGTGGTTTTGAAAGGAAAGGTCTCCAATTCCAAATGTATTTTTACATGTCACAGCCAGTTTTACTTTACAAAGTTTATCAATGATAAAACCCAGCTAAGTTCTCACTGTCAAAAAGTTAAAAAAAAGGCTATACTTGGAACTATATAAACTGCAAAAGAAAATAAATATTCACCCTATGCTTCAGACAGATCTATGTTCTCATTGACCGGAGCTGTTAAATCTTGGTTTTCTTCACCATCAGACGGTTGAGATTCATGTTTGGCAGCAGCCTGCAACACCCTGTTCTGAACATCTAACGACGAAGGTGATGTTGGTAGTCCAATCCCATTAGTTTCTAGTTTCCCAGCAGCCCATGAAATTGCTTCACCTCCCAATCTAACAGGACTCATCAATAACCTTGAAGAAATGCAGACACACAATTATTAATCGTCAATCCATCATCATTATCAGAACTTCAGCGTAACACAAAAGAATGATATACAAAGTTCCACAGATTCACGATAAAGTTCCACATGCTTTGGCAAGGGCCCTATTTATCTTATTTTTTCCCCTTTTTCTTTTCTCTTTTATTAACCACAATTCTTGTAACCCAATGGTATCTGCAGGTCAGATTTTCAAGGGTAACGAGGTTGGAAAAAAAAAATTTCCAATGATAATTCTATCCTACACTGATTTACTTACTTTTTCTTCTATTTTATCCTATACAAAGAAATTATGTTTTACATTTGAAAACCAAAAAGAAAATACAAACAAAATTAACCTTTCAAATTTGGTTACATTTATGTATTCCCATATGTATCCGCTCATGCACAAAGCCACATAATCTATATTTTCCACTGAAATTACCAAACAGCCAAATGAATACATGTAGTCAACACAAAACATTTGAATAAAATAAATGCTATTCATAATATACCTAGTCATGACATCTCACAACATCAGGAGAAAAACTATACAATTACTTGGTAGAAGAGATTAAGATAACCCTCCTCATAACCTTAAGATCATATTCAGTTAAGAACTTTGTAATTCCATAAAAACAATGCACGTGACAGAGCTACAAAGAAAAAATAAATTAACAGAATAATTCTAATGCTATTATGTAGGGCTTACCTCATATCTTGCTTAAAATCTTCAGCATTCTCATAAGAAGCAACCCTCCGATATAGAGTCTGGAAAAGGTCACAATCAATTAAGAATTCAAGATGAGGAAGAAGATATGAGAAGTTTTCCTTTAACATCACACATGAGAAAATTAGGGAAAGGGTGCTGATCAAAAAATAAAGAAAGTTAGGGAAAGGGAGAACTTGCATGTATCCTTCACCAGGAATACAAAATCTAAAGCACTATTAGGAACATCCAGATCATGTAGACTGATGAATACAATATGAGAGTGAAAAAATAAATTAAAAAGTACAAATAAAAAAAAACTCAATTGATTGGGACACAAGGATTGGTTTGGTTTCATTTGGTTGAGCCAAAGTCATACTGATCAATGAACTTATATTACTATTAGAGGTGGCAAACTCAACCTAAAACTGTATAAACCAATTTAAAATCCATTTAAACTGTTCAAATCGTTAAATGGGTTTAAATGGATTGCATCTTGCAAATCCAATTAAAATTAAGTTTACATGTATTGGACATGGGTAACCATTTAAATGGGTGCCAACTCCTCTACCACACCACCACCACCCCTCCACCAACACCACCCCTCCACCAACACCATGGCAACCACAGCTCCACCATCACCACTATCACCACCCTCTATTGAAAAAGAGTTAAATAGAGTAAATGGGTTGTTCGGGTTATTTTGTCCAACCCATATTTAATTTAACCCAATCTGCTTAAACTTGTTTATTAAATGGGTAGGTTTGGGTTAAATTATTTTATCTACATAAATCATTTTAACCAGCCCAAACCTGCCAGGTTGCCACCTCTAATTACTGGTAATTCTGTTTTCTTCACATGGACCATTAACCATTTTATCTAGATATTACACAGAAAACAAAATGCCAAATGATTATAACCTGCAACAAGATCAATTTTTGGAACAGAAATATGTAAGTGGCACTCATGAAATGTTGCCCCACAAAGTCTAATCAAATTCCCTAGACCAGGTTACAGCTAATATGTCTTCCTCATGGTGTAGCCACCTCTTATGTCACATCAATCCAAGGTTTCAACTTTATATGCCAAATTAAGATATTGGACATATTTCCTATTAATTTTAAGCCACATCAAATATCTTTTAGTCAATGTGGATATGTTAATACAATGAATGCTAGCATCTCAACAAAATTGGACTTTGTTTGAGGATTGTTTCATTTCCTTTCCAGGGAAATGATGTTTAAAATCTTAACTGGAACCCTTTTTTTTGTTACAGGTAACTGGAACCCTTCAATTGGACACAAAAGAATAAATACCTGAGCAAGGCCAACAATGCCGATAATTTGCAGCGTCTTCTCCCACTCTGAAACAAAATAAATGCTCAGTTGAAAGGAACAAGCATTGAATGATGGGCCTTTAATTCTTAAGTGATTTTTTTTTATTACAAACATAGACGCCAAAGTCCAGAAATACATACATAGATTTGGAAGGAAGATAAGAGTTAAGCATCCCATAGAAACAAGCAATCAAGTGTCAAACATTTCTACAGAAAAGCCATCACAACACAAGCAACCTGATGTGTTCCAAAAAAGGAACTTAAACCGAAAGTCATCTTTCTGTCAAATTCTACTAAGGTTGGGTTGCTTAAAGCACCATTGCAGCATACAAGGAAATTATCAAAATATAAAACATAATCTGTTTGGTAACGTTTATGTTTTTAGTTTATATTTACAAAAATTTTATAAACTGATTTTTGTTTATTTTTAGAAAAACATAAACTACAAACGTGTTTGGTAATTGACAAAATGTTTAAAAAAAATTAAAAATATAAAAAAGAATAAAAAATCTTTAAAAACATAATTTATATATTAAAAAAAAATTAAAACAAATATAAACATCTATAATTATTAGTTATATATGAATAAAAATATAAGTATCAAAATTAAAGCAAATATCTAAAAAAGCTTAAATTTTTATTGTATATTTTTTTAATAAAATTCTTAATTCCTAAATTCATAAATATACAGAATAATGTTAACATAATAATGAAATTTTGAAAGCCAAACCAATCAATCAAGCAACCAATCGCCCGCCGCCCGGGGGGTGGGGTACGTGTCAAAGTAAACACTAAGGGTCTCTTTGGTAACGTTTACGCTTTCAGTTTATATTTACAAAAATTTTATAAATTAGTTTTTATTTATTTTAAAAAAAACATAAACTACAAACGCGTTTGGTAATTGACAAAATGTTTAAAAAAATTTAAAAATATAAAAAAGAGTGAGAAATGGCAAGTGGTGGCGGAAGACGGTGGTGGAAAATGGTGACGGTGGGTGTTGGGTAACGGGTGTTGGTGGGTGGTGACGGGTGGGTGGTGGTGGTGGGTAGGTGGGTGACGTGGCGAGTGGTGGGTGGTAGCGAGTGGGTGGCGGTGGCGGGTGGTGGTAGCAGGTGGGTGGTGAGTGGCGATGGCAGGTGGTGGTGGGTGGTGGTAGCGGAAGACGGTAGTGGAAAATGGTGGCGGGTGGTAACTAGTGTTGGGTGGTAAAAAAAAACTGAAAACTCAAAATGAAAACACCTTTTTTGAGTTTATATTTTTTGGCCAAATTTATAAACTGAGACCACTGATTTATAAATCAAAAATTTACCAAACAAGTTTTTATTTGAGTTTTTTAAATTTTTATAAATATAAACAGAAAACTGAAAATGTAAAGTGTTACCAAACGGCACCAGTAATCAATAAAAGATTGCCAAATTTTACCTTGACAAGGCTAGGGAATTACTATGTGCACATGTGCCAAGTGTTAAACATGGGTTGGAAAAACCTAACAGCCAGATTTGAGGAACCACCTATCAGGTGATCAATATTTTATTATTTGCTAACAGATGATGTAAGAAACCTGAACTCAGTTGTTTTGGTGGGTAATTCCAGTATCATGATCCACTGAATATTAATATAGAGAATAAAATATTCTTGTCGCCGACACTGGCCTGATTGGGACGCAACACTTAGTTTGATTTGGTTGGTAACACTTCATGCATATGCACTGTGCACATACCAAATATCAACTTAATTGCTTCCCCGCAAAAATCACGTTTTTTCAATTCTCATTTTTAAACTATAGATATTGGAAAAAGAGAATATATGCTAATACGTACCTAGCAATGCATATGATGCTGCAACAAAACCCTGTCAACAGAGTAGTCATGTTAATTAGTGTAACATGTACACGAAATTGAAAACAGATTACAAATTTATTTCAAGAACCACATGAAATCTTTACATGACAAAAATAAGAGACAGTTACACATATAGTGAAAATTTTTGGGAAAAAAATGCACACTGCATGGTTTTCTTGGAGAATGCACACAAGATGTTCCAGATATAATAAACTCAAATGACATCAAGCCATTGAGCTTGAACCAAAATAACATGGGTAAAAGAACAGATCTTTTTAAAGAATCTCTGCAGTCCATTTTTTTCAAGAACACAGCCTCTATATGATTGATTCCAAATTAAGACACAAATTAGCACAAAAAAAATGTTGATTCAATCCATCCTTTTATATCTAAATAATTATTAAAAATATTTTGAAAAAAAAAAAAGAAGCCTTGTGATAGATAAATAACTTCAAAATAATTACGGAAGCAAAATAACATACAAGAGTAACATGAGTCTTACCACCCCATACCCAAGAACTTTTACTGGAGTAGGATTGATATCTTTTAGGATTGCCTCAGCTTCCTGATGTTATCCCAAATTTGCATTAGCATATCATGGAAAACTTCAAACTAATATTACATAAATCACAACACCAAATGTAACTAATTCAGTAATAAAAACAGGAATCGAGTTGAAAATTAATCCACTTTAGTGAACCATATTAGGAATGGCAATACAAATGTCCCACATAAGGATGGGTTGAATACAGGTAAAATTTACGTGAGAGCAGTGTGGTTTAGTCTATGACATAGAAACTTTTTTTTATACCGACAAAAAATAAATAAATAAAAAAAAATCATGTCTTTGATGTGATCTGAGGATATGGCTCAAGGATTAGAAACTAGAACAAGCTTAAACTCCTTCAGGCTTCTGGAAAATTGTACAGATTAGAGAAAATTTCTTAGAAATATCTATATTGTCAATATAGTCGAGCCAGATTACTATAATCATGTGCAGCCACATATTGAGAATTCATGCCTGAACCTTTTCCAATATCATCCTTGGAAAAGTTATTAAGGTATATTGCGCAAGTTTGTTTCAAAAAAATTTCAACTTATTTAACTTCAAATTTGTAATCATATGCTTTAATAGTTGTACTTTTTTTGAGTTACGGTGTTTGGTTCCACTAATTTGGTTATCAGCTTATTCTCCTTTTTAGCTTAAAATGCTTAAAATAAGCTAAACAATTGACTGTTTGGTTGCGTTTTTGTCTCCTGTTTTCTATTTTTATTTTTCGAAAAACATAGAAAATTTGCTTGGTGAACTGATTTTGGGATAATTTTCTGAAAACAACCTACTTTTAGGAAACACCGAAAAGTTGTTTTCAAATTTTTGTTGTTTTCGCAAAAAGGTAAAAATGATATGAAAATGACAGGTGTTTTATAATGTTTCATTGTTGTTTCGAAAAACATGGAAAATGAAACCCAAAAAAAAAAACACAACCAACAAAGCCTTTTTAAAAGCTAAAATCAGCTTTTTTTAAGTGAAAACAAACACGCATTATACCATTTCTCGATTCTCTACTTACAATTAAATACTTTCCAATTGTGATAGCCTATTGGAACAATGACTTGGTGGCTTGTGCATTGAAATAGTTTCCACAACTAATACTCATCAATTTTTTATTGCTTCAACTTAAGGTGCAAGTGTATATGTCGTCCTGCTGACTCAAACAAATTTTCGAACTTCTACTTTTGCTTATATAGTGCTTATTTATTAGCCCTCAAGTACCTTTTTTTAAAATAGATTATACTCAACAAAGTGATGTAGCATGGCCTCCCAAGAGACTTCCAACAAACAGATGTTGAGCAAAAAATCTTACTGATAGTAAGATTTATTCTTGTTACAAATTGATGAAAAGAAGAAAGCGGAGAAAGATCATGGGCGGAGCCATGCAGACTTCAGTGGGTTCAAATGAACCCACTAAACTTTGAAAAAAAAATAGAATTATATAGTATTATGTAAAAATTTTAGGAGATTTTCATAAAATGACACCACTGAAATTGTTAAAAATATAAAGTAATGCTACACTTTCATATTTTTTATATCACATTTTATAATATAGTATGTGTGAATTTATTTTTATGAGTTTTGTAAAATCATCAATATTAACTAACTAAATGACACCACTAGAGAGAATTTTTGGCTACGCCACTGAGAAAGATAGATAATAAAAAAATAAAGAAGTTAAAAAAGTAGAAGCACAACAGTGATATATGAAGAGAATAGAGAAGGGAAATGACTAAGACAGGAAAAAAGTAGAAGAACAAATATGAGTACAGAAATCAAGAACCAAAAAAGAGGACAGACAAAGAATAGAAGGAATCAAGGAGAGAAAAAGAGGAAGAGAAATAGGGATTCAAATATATTCCATAATTTGTATTCATTCTCTGAAGCAAATTTTGCTTGATACCAATAAGGCCTGTAAATGGGCTTCATAAAACCCTAATAAAAAAACACATCTAAAACTGGGCTTACAAAACATAGTAGCCTAATAACACAAAACTTCTATCACTAAAGCCTCTAATAGTCCCAATAAACTGAAATCTAAGAAGTACATTCAGCAAACAGGCCAATAGCGAATTTCACTAAAATAAAAAGGTATAACTCGTAAGCAAGTGTGACAAAAGACAACCAAAATAACAAAGGCAAGGGAAGACATTATGAAGAAATTTGCAGGTATGTGAGGGGAGAAAGAAAAGAAAAAACAAAAAGCAGTATCTTGTACCTCATTGAGTATGGTAAGTGCTGTCTCGGGTTTTAGCTGCTTCACACGAAGACCTTCTTTCAACCAAGACTGATAGCCACCTTGGACCAGATACGATTGCTACGATGTAAAAAATAAAGATGTAAATTAGCATTTAACCATCTGTGTTGGAATTCCAAATCGATGAAACTTCAAGTAGGAAAACTTTCTTATCCCACACCAGTTGGCATGTGTAAAAGAAACTTTCTTCCAAGTTGTATGACCTAATAATCTAATCAAATTTAGCATTGTGAATCTGTGTCCCAACCTTTTTATTCCATTTGAATGTTCAGAATTTGATTGCTCACGCCAGAAAAATAACCAGCCAGCTTTACAAATCAACCACTAGTATTTTTCCATTGTGAAGCTCCATCTTGGGCATACCCAATGACAACAATAAATTACGAATGTGAACTCAAAAGCCAGTGTTGATAACTTCTGTCTCAATTAGACAGAAATAGGTATATGGTAATATGTTTAATTACTATCAAATGGATAGTGACCTTTGTTTAATTTTTCCCCGGCATAAAAACCTGCCAAAATAAACGGCATATGATATAGATAACAACAGATACAATCTGCATGGAAGTAAGAAATTTTAAAATAATGTTAAACATCGATTGACTATTGATATTAGTCGTACTGGAATTACTGCTATCCTATGCATCAAAAGTTACAGGCCAGACCATCAAAAAATGATTCTATCACATGAGAAGTCATGGAAGCGGAGATGAGTCTCAGTGTGAAACCTAAGAGGAGGTGAACATAAGTTCCCAAACCATTGGGGATGTTGGGGTCAGCTTCAAAAACTTCAAGATCGAAGTATCTTGTCTCAGATAGAGAAATTATAAGTAATTAACTTGACTATGTACAACAATTTTAGAATTTTTGAAACCCAAATAAATATGAAACAACTTAATTCCAAAGTATACCCTAAACTTGTTAATGTGTGTGCAAAATATTTTAGCATTCTTGACTACCAAATTGAAAAGCCCAACCCACACTTCTCCTTAAAACCCAGGTGTTAAGGAGAGAGAAACTAGAGCCTTATAACCAGCAAATTGAAAAGCCCAACCTACACTTCTCCTTAAAACCCAGGTGTTAAGGAGAGAGAAACTGGAGCCTTATAACCAACACAGATGGGGCAACTCCAGGTGATATGGGACACATTCCAATACACCCTTCTGGACCACAACATACAATAGCCAGGCAAACGGCACACTAGTCATAGGCCCACAAAGCTCTGATACCAAATTGAAAAGTCCAACCCACACTTCTCCTTCAAACCCAAGTATTAAAGAGAGGGAATCTGAAGGCTTGTAACCAGCATAGATGAAGCAAGTCCAGGCAATGTGGGACACATTCCAATAGTAAGAGTGTTTTGTATCATTGAATCTTATTTTCTTAATTCATGAATGGTTTACTTATAAGCTTAGTCTCTTTGTGGCAAATATAGAAGATGATAAATGATAATTTAAACTTCACTTGCCTTAAGCCCGAGTTTCCCCAGTGATCTTGCAATGCCCTTGGAGTGAGTACCATCTGCATCCATAACTATAACCTGGGATCTGTCCTATAGGTATGATAAAAGACATTACTTAGAAGCATCTTATTAAAATTCATATTGAAACGAGGGAATGTATTACTGAAAAAGCACATGATATAATCTCATTGCCACTAAAACAGCCCCATCATACATCTTAAAAACTAACATTTTCCCTCTAAAAATTAACCATCAGATCCTATTCACCTCCAAATTTTAATTTTATTTTTGCTTTAGATAAATGGAAAAAAAAAATTAAAAAGAAGAAAGAAGTTTTTTAAGTGAAGCAGGTGGCAAATATAGAAGATGATAAATGATAATTTAAACTCCACTTGCCTTAAGCCCGAGTTTCCTCAGTGATCTTGCAATGCCCTTGGAGTGAGTACCATCTGCATCCATAACTATAACCTTGGATCTGTCCTATAGGTATGATAAAAGACATTACTTAGAAGCATCATATTAAAATTCATAATGGAAACAAGGGAATGTATTACTGAAAAAGCACATGATATAATCTCATTGCCACTAAAACAGCCCCATCATACATCTTAAAAACTAACATTTTCCCTCTAAAAATTAACCATCAGATCCTATTCACCTCCAAATTTTAATTTTATTTTTGCTTTAGATAAATGGGAAAAAAAAATTAAAAAGAAGAAAGAAGTTTTTTAAGTGAAGCAGTAGTAGATGATCTAAACAGGACAAATGTAGAAATTTTAAACTTCAGTCCTAGTGGTCCAGGAGCACATTGTCTACTTGGTCCCAACAAAAACAATTTCTTTGATCATGCAATTTTATAGCTTCCCCAAAACTGTTAAATCATGTAGAATAGAAAGCCATATGCAAAAATAATACTACACACTTGAATGATCTTCAAGTTCCGAATGACAACAGCTATCAAGGAATCATCAAGGTCCCTTCCACTTTTCAATAACTTCCGTATAGAACCATTGACCTGAAATTTGAAAAAAAAAAAATTATGTAAAATAGAATTGCAGAAGAGGATAGAGCCAGTCCTATTTTCTTGCATCTATTCTCATAATCATCCCTTTTCTACAAAGATGGTAATGAAATACTGAACTTCTTTCCCTTAAAAGAAATGAGCGATCAACCCTTGGATTAAACACACCTCAGGCCGTGTCACATTGCCATATCGAAACCGAGCTGCCCCTCGAAAGATCAAGGAAATCCCATCTCTTTCCTCCCTGAGTCCTTCACAAAGACAAAAGCACAAAAACAAGATCATTTGAAATTAGATCTTCAAATTTTCATATAAAGGAATAATCTTTTGTTATAAGGCGGAAGAAGGTTTCCTGTACATTAAAAGTGTCTAATTGAACCAAAGATTAAAAGTTGAACATTTTAAACTTCAAATTATCATAAAGTAACTATCCTTTTCCATAGGGTGGTGGGATGAAAATTTCAAATCCATAAAAATATGGTATATCCACTGAAAATTTGAGGCAGAAAAATTACAACAATAACAGAAGCTCAAAAAATATTCTATAATAAAAGAAAAATTCATTGGAAATATGATTTTTTAGACCAATTCAAGGAAGTGTCAGAAATCATCACAACAAACATTCCACAAAAGAAAAGGCTAGAAAAATTTACTGTCTCTTGCCTCGGGCCGGACATCAATGAGCACAACATTCTTCTGCTTTGTCAACAGCTCCAAAGTTGACTTAGGAGATAAATCTCCCGCGTATCCACCATATGTAAATAACCAGTAAGAACCCCTGCGCATATCTGATAAACAATAAAATTTTCCATAAAATGTATTCAAAAAAATACTTGTTCTTCGAACCCATTTTTGGTGAGTATGTTCTTCCTAAACCGCAGGCCCCAAAAAAAATTTTAAATATAAACAAATAAATGTTAAAAGAATAGAAGCATAAGGCAACATCCATACCATAAAGCTGCTGAGGTTCCAATGAAAAGAACAAAGGGGACAATTGGATCATTGGGATCCAAGCCAATACTTTTCTCCAACCACTCTAAAGCAGTGTAAATCTGCTTATAGCACATGTGAGACCAGAATAAAAGATATCATGAGACAAAAATGTTTATACAACTAAAGTTAAATCTGGTCTCAAACAAGTATATGATTAGCATGGATATTGCACGTTTCCAAAAACACCTCAACTATTTGAAAGTTTATTTCAAAAAGGACTACTTTTTCTCAACCATTCAGTATAATTTAATTAGACAAACCAACAGATATTCTTGAGGATGATTTCCTACCTAAAAGATTTTGAGATGGGAACCAACCGCTGAATCATATGCATCAAATAATCAACTAGCCACGGATCCATGTTTATGGCTGTATGCTAAGGGAAAGAAAAGGGACTGAACATACCTGCTGAAAAGCAGTCCCAACTGGCCTCGAGATTTTTACTACCCTCTCTTCAGACAAACTTAGCACATTCTGGGCTTCTGGAGGAAGCAAATTCTTTGTTGATCCATACACATAAACAACGTAGGTGGCGCCTTGATTTACGGAATCCTCAATTTGAAAAATTGTACGCCTCAAGATATCAACAGTAACTGTACCCACTTTATTTGATGCTTCCTTTATGTCATTGGAGAAGCCAGTGAATTTATTAGCACCTAATTCGCCCACTCGATCAACAGATGAGATCACTTTATTAACAGCATTATCAACTGCTTCATTAGCGCCTTTCAAAACAGATGTTACTGATGAAGTAATTTTATCGAATGAGTTTTTCAGAAAACTTTCTCCATTATTGACTGAACCATTAATAGATGCATTAACCCCAGAAAAAATATTCTCAATACTTGTTTTCACACTGGAAAATGAATCATCATCCATAGTCAACGAATCAGATAGAGACGCAGGATCATCTGTAATAACATCTGTAGTTGTTATTGTTTGAGGATCAGCAGGCTCTGGTAAGATATTAGTGTCTGTGAAGTCCATGAGCTCCTGTTCCTCAGCAGATACACTCGAACTTGCTACAAACTTCAGATCTCCTTTTCCTACGTAGTGTGGTACATTTGTTCCACCCATTGAATAACTCCAATTATCCACAAATTCACATTTACCGTCACCTAATTCATTTTGGTAGGGAGACATGTTAATGAAACCCATGGGGCCAGATTGTTCTCTGCCATCAATAAAATTAGCATAAAAAGATGTAGCAGCTTCCGTTTTGAAAGTAACTCCCTGAAGATGATTTCCACTAGACAATCCCAAAGCCACCCTTTCTTCGACAATGCATCTAACCTTACATGCATTCTGGTACGAGGACACAGGTTGCAACCCTCCATATAAAAAAATCTGTAAGATCAGTAGTTTCAGATAGCATGAGTACATTATTAGATCATATATGGATAATTGTAACTCGTCACAAATGTTTCAAAAGAAGAAGAAGTAATTTTTAGATGCCTATACGAGTCAAATTTTGGAGAGAATGAAATCTTGCAAAGTAAATTCCCCACAACCTTGAATCTGGTTAAACATGGCTTCTGCTCCTTAAGATAAAACATGGATTTCCGAAGTTACAGGACAGGCGTGGGGTTTGGTGAATTAAAGACCTATAGTTTACATGCATGTCCTCTGGTAAAAAGTGTCATAATTACACTTACAGAAAATCCATCATCTTGCTACATATTTTGAAAGAGAAAAAAACCCAAGAATCCTTTCTCTGTCATATCAAGGACACAATAGCGTCCATTCCATTGTCTAACAAATGACATTTTATAACAACAAATAATCCAGTAACTGATTCATTGTTTCAAAGTTTTCAATTTGATCAAGTACTGGCAATTGCTAAACAAATACTTCCAAAAGCCCTAACAATTTTCTGAGGATAACATCCTTCATTAAATTAGTTTCTAGCATGCTGCATGTGTGATACCCCTGTTCCGTAATGTGTTAATTAGTCCTTAAAATGAGTATGATTATGTGTTTAGCATAATTTTGTGTGTCATTATGTGAAAATATGTGGTCTTGAATTTCTATTTGTTCGCCGTAGGAATATCTATTTGATTATCTGCTTTGGAAATTAAATTGGAGGCCTTATCGGCCACAAAATCCGAAATTGATTACGCCATTGTGATTGGCATAATTTTAGAACCTACGGTGAAATTTAATTGGAAATTTATTCGGGTCAGATTAAATCAATTAAATTGATGAATGGGTGCCCATTACATTATTATTATTATATTGGAATTGGTGGGGGCCTTATGTATAGGGTTATACACTCTCTCATTGTTTCTTTTTGAGTCCAAAAATCTGAGTTATACATTGTGAGAGTGAGAAGGCCGACCTTAGAGAGAGAGGAAGAAGAATTGTACAATTTTGGTCTTGAAGTGAGAGGAAGAAGAATTGTACAATTTCGGTCTTGAAGTTTGTTAATTTTGAAGCCACACTCAAGAATTTGCTATTGATTGAAAGGATAGAGCCTCTAGGTAGGTAATTGATCTTGAATTCATAAGTTTGGACTTGTGATTTTCTGTATTCAAGCTAATTGGGTAATCAAGAATGAAAAAAAAAAGCATGCATTGAGTTGGTGATGTTGAATTTGAAGTCAAATGATGCATGCATGTGTTCAATTGTCATGAAATTGTATAGTTATGTATGAAAAATATGAGTCATGTGGAATTTGGTTAGAACTCATGCTTGTGGTCATCATTTGCACCATCTAGATGAAGAATGGAAGTTATATCCCACATACATGTACAAATCACAAGAGTATGAACTTGAATGCATGAAATTGTTATGTTGGAAGTAAGCTTGGTGTAAATTTGAGACATGCATGTAGATAATTTATGAAATTGAACTTCAATATGTGGTAATTTGATGCTTGTACCATGTTAGTACATGTCTAGGAGTAATTTGAGCCATAACATGCATGAATTGTTGGTTGAAAGTCGAAATGAAGCTCAAGAACACAGTTCTGGGTTTTCCAGAATTTTGAGGTCCGCTCGAGCGGGGAACCTGACGCTCGAGCGGGAAATGTGTGCTCCCAGTACTTTTTGCAAACTTGATGTCCGCCCGAGCGGGGTAATTAACGCTCGAGCGTGGAAGCTATTTTGACAGGCCTTCCGCTCGAGCGTCCTATTTCACGCTCGAGCGTATTTTTTATGCAACCAGCACTTTTGCAGGCCTATAGGGTCCGCTCGAGCGGGGACCCTGTTTTCTGAAATTTTGTTCATGCGTTCTGTGTTTCGTTTTCCGTTCTCTTTCACTTGTAAGCACTCTTAGGCATATGTTAAGCATTGTAAATGAGTTGATGAGATAAGAATAAAGCCTAAAGAGGAATATGTGAATTAAGGAACGGATTGAATTGTTAATGACCCTTTTGTGTTCATGAAATGTGTAGGGTCAAGCTCCAGGGCAAATCTACAAGCCGATCACTGTGAGTAATATCGATATTTGAAAGCTTAGCAATGTCCAACTGTTTATTCCCTTATAAGCTTTATGAGTTGCTAATTGGGATTGTGGACAAAAGTCTGAAATGAACGAATGAATGGACCGAAGGTCGTTTCGATATAAATAAATGGACCTAAGGTCGTTTTGATATAAATAAATGGACCTAAGGTCGTTTTGAAATGAATGAGTGGGCGAAGGCCGTTTTGACACGAATGTATAGGCTGAAGGCCGTTTTGATGTAAGCGAATGGACCGAAAGTCGTTTTGACATAAACGAATGGACCGAAGGTCATTTCGATAGAAATGAATGGGCCGAAGGCCGTTTTGACATAAATGATTGGGCCGAAGGCCGTTTTGACATGAATGATTGGGCCGAAGGCCGTTTTGACATAAATGATTGGGTCGAAGGCCGTTTTGACATAAATGATTGGGCCGAAGGTCGTTTTGACACAAATGAATAGACTGAAGGTCGTTTTGACATAAATGAACGGACCGAAGGTCGTTTTGACATAAATGAATGGACCGAAGATCGTTTTGACAAGACATGAATGGATGGGCCAGAGGCCGTTTCGACACGAAAGTGTAAATAGGCCTGAAGGCCGGTTTGACACGAGTAATAGTTTGACAATGAAACGAATAAATTGGGCCCGAGGCCATATAATGTGTTTGGAACCTCAGTTACTTAACTTACATGTGTCTATGTATGTAGCTTACAAGTTGAATTAGGAAGCTAATGATGCAGCGAAGGGTGTAGAACAGAATTAATGCAACAAGATCAACAGTCAACGCACAAAATAGTGCAACATTCTGTTTAGTTTAAGAATACCCATAATATATCACAATAAAAAAAGAGAAGCTTTCTCATCGGAATTTAATTAATAATCAAAATACTGGAAAAAAAATTAAGACCCTTAAAAAGGCTCTCCCCCAATTTACCCACAATAACATGGTAGGTTTACATGTCAACTTTTGATTTGTCACAAACTCAAGCATGTAATGCTCAACTACCTTGTCATGTCATTGTGAGTGAATTGTGGATTCTAAAGTATGGGTCTCTACCATTTATCATCAAAATACACTCTAAAAATAGTTCTCTACAAGACACTATATATATAGGTGTAAGAAAACCGATAGAACTTGGGAAACAAAAATCCATAATTCTAGAAAAAATGAAAGTGGTCAACCCACATTCCATTAATTAAGGCCCTTGTAGTTTTGAATAGCTCACAGACACAAACACAAGCTACTTTTAACAACAGACAACATAATAAATTCAATCCAAAAAGAACTTGCTTGTGCACTAAGTTCACCTGAGAATGAGAGGAACAGCTAGTGATGGCTGAGCAAACAGGCAACATTGTCAAGTAAAGCTGATATATATTCAGTCAAAAACCAACATGACAAAAGCTTGAACTTCGATATAAACCCACCAAGAACAGTCAACTTTGATCGGCCAATCAATTTAGCAAGTGGGTTTGTTGCAAATCAGTTGGTTGTGAGGGTGAGAGAAAATACCCACAAATTGTGGGATGAAATCAAAGCATAATTTGGTAAAAGAAAGGCCCCAAAGATTGCTTTCATAGGGAAATTGAAGAAATCTAGAAAATGGGTTTTGGATATTGTTAGTGATATCTATCTATCCAATGATATGTCACAATGAGATAATTGGGAATGAGAGGATGGAGATGTGATTTGGGTAATCGTGTGGCTTGTCCAGGCTGTTAGCTTCATCTCGTTGCCTCTTATTTTTGCCTCTCGTTTTTTTTGGTGGGGACATACCGAATTCTATTATTTCGAGCTTCCCAACTGGCTTTTGGGTGGGAGGGATTGTGTGCCATGTTAATATTTTAACAACAATGATTCATCCCCTTTTTCTTCACCCCTTTGACTCCTCTCTCTCTCATTAGTTACTTTTTCTTTTTTTTTTCTTTTTTTTCCTACTCCTCTAATCACCACCTGCCACGTGACAAAGGGATGAGGGGTGACCCCCAAAAGAGGGTCCCAAACATTATTCATATTTTAATTAAAGAAAAAAAATTAAAATGTATTTTTTTTTTTATAAAATTATATAAATTGATTATTATACACTTTTATACTTTTATTTTATATTTCAATTAATTAAAAAAATTCAAACGAATCCTACTAATTTATATTAGGATATTTGTTGAGTTGTTTTTTAAAATTTAGTAATGGTTTTCCTTGTTTAAATTAGTAATAAAAATTAAATAAAAAATTTAAATCATTAAGAAATCTATCTATCTATATCCATCTATATCTATTTATATTTATATTAATTAATACTATATATATAAACAAATATAGTTGATTTGTTCTTAGCCCTCTAAACCTCCACTTCTAATTTTTTTAAAAATTAAAAAATTATGTGACACTTATTTTTAAGCTAAGTTTCCCACTAACTCTTCTCCCATCACTTCCATTTAAAATAAAAATTATTTCCTTTAATAATTTAATTTAATAATAATATACTTTTAGAATAATAGTTATCCAAACACAAACTTATCAACAAGGAAAAAATATATATATCCGAATTGATAATCTATAGGCCTCCAAATCTTCATTCCTATACTTTTATAAGTTTAAAAAAAAAAATACATGACACTTATTTCTAAGCTGAGTTTTCTCCAAAAGATCAAATAAAGTATTTGAATTGAATATCTATAGACCTTCAAATTTTCATTCCTAATTTCTTATAAAATCTAAAATTTTAAAAAATTATGTGATATTTATTTCTAAGTCAAGTTTTCAAATCATCACTCATATTCCTTCACTTCCATTTAAAATAAAACTATATTCTTTAATAATTTAATAATAATAACATGCTATTAGAATAATAGTTATCCGAATATAGACTAATCAACAAGAAAGAGAAAAAGTTATTGCAAAATTAAAAAGTATTTGAATTGAAAATCTATATAAAGATAATTTATATCTATCACGAAAATTCAAAATAAATATGATTTAAATTTAGATTTGAATATATAAAGATAATTTAAATTTATCTAATCTCACATCTCTCTCCTCTTATATAAACAGTTATGTTTCAATTAATTGTAAATAGATGCAAAACTATTGACAAAATTTTATAAGGTCATTTGTATTCAAGTTTAGAGATTTGGCTACCAACATGAATGCTAAATTATTGATTATTAATTACCTTTTGAGCTCTGATCCAATGATCATGGTCTGCTGCGGTTAACCCACCTCTCTCTCACTCTCTCTCTCTCTCACTCTCTCCCTTTCTGTATATATATATATATATACTATATAGACTTTTATATTATTTTAAATGCTTCACACATTTGTAATTTTTGTCTTTTTTTTTTTTTTTTTTTTTTTTTTTTTTTTTCTTTTTTTTTTTTTTTTTTTTTTTTTTTCCTCCCTCCAACCATTTCTAGCAACATTCCAAAATTATAAACATTTGATTTGTATGACATATTCCCAAAGTTTCCAGAGAACATTTCAGGGGCAATGCAAAAAATTCTCTCTTATTTGAGAATTTCATAAAGAATTTCTCACCAAACTAAAAAATTCTCTCTTATTTGAGAATTTCAAATTAATTTAACTTGGCCATTGAGTGTTCACTATATTTTGTGCTTTAAATTTTATCTTTTGAGAATATTTTAGTGATGGGTTCACATAGTTTTGGGATTTGTATGTTTTTATGTAACATTTAATTTTGTGTTCCTTTATGCAATTCTAATGTATTTTTATTTTCTACATTTGGTATTGATTTTTTTATTTCTTTTTATTATAATAAATTTTAGTAATTGAGCCTTTTGTTTTGTTTTGTTAGTGGGTTGGCAATAGAATTTTTTATTTATTTTTTTTATTTTTTCTTCATAACCAAACATAGTTCTCAATTATATGTACTTATTGATATTTAACTGTAACTTTTTTTTTAAAAAAAAACTATAATTTTTTATTTGATTGTTTAATTGAATTTTTTTTTTCATTTTGTTTTCTTTGATTATCAAAAGCCCATAAAAAATAAATGACAAAAGATAACTAATGCGGCGGATGATATAATCTAAAATTATAACATATCTTATGTTTTGTAATCTTATTTTTAAGTTATTCATTTAAAACCATATGAGCCCATGCATTGCACGGGTCACCACTAGTATATTATATAAGGAAAATAGGGTTTCTAACTCATAAATCTTGTGGGAGTTTCAATAGCTCAATATTAATTTTTAAATTTTTTGATTTTAAAAAAAAATCTCAACATTTATTGACTTCTCCCAACCCACAAGCCTTTTGATTTATCCTATACCTATTGTCGCACCATTTTCAACTTCTCACATACAATATAGTTAGTGATGAGATTATTAAATTATTTTTATAAAAAATCTATAAAAAATAATTTGTATATTAAAAAAATATCTAAAATAAATATAAATTTTTATTAAAAAATAATTAAAAAAATAACAAGTTGCAATTGCGAAAAAAAAAAAGATAAAAAAATTACACCGTGCATTTCATTAAAATATAAAAAAAATAATTTATATATTAAAAAATATCTAAAACAAACATAAATTCTTATTAAAAAAATAACAAGTTACAATTGTGAAAAAAAGATTTTAAAAAATTACACTGTAAAAAATAATTTGTATATTCAAAATATATAAAAACAAAATATAAATTCTTATTAAAAAATAACAGGTTGTAATTGTAAAACAAAAAAAATAGAAAAAAAAAATTACACTGTGCATTTCATCAATAATGCTCAAAATGTACCTAGTATTTGTGTAAAGGCTTAACACGTGTCCATTCTCAAATTAAAGTGAATATAGATAAAATCAAAGAATTAAGCTTTAATGGCTAACAAATGTTAGAATCTCGACCATTGAAACCTAATAATTATTAATTAATAGAATTCAACAATTGAAATGTCTCAAATCATATCTCTTTATCTTCTCAAATGTTTCATTTTTTTGGTTCACGCATTTATTCTAATATTGATAGAGATTTTGACGTGTTGAAAAGTGAAATACATTAAAATTATATATTGAATTATATAAACGTTGTAATAAAAAATAAATGTTGCCTTCCTCTTCTATGGCGATTTGTCTGGTTATACCTCCAATTAAAACGTCAGGTGTGCTTTCACATCATCATTGAACGTTACTTTCATTTTTTTTAGATACTTTACCTCACAATTTTTTGTGTTTTGTGTTATGAAATTTATTACATCTAGCTATTAGATGGACCTAATGCAAGAAGTATAAACTACTTTAATGTCATTATCGAGATTATAAGTACAAAGAATATACAAATAGACATGACTTTATAAAATTTGTTTGTGAGTCTCACTTTTTGAAAATCTTATAATTCATTTAATTTTTGTATTATATTTTACGTTTGGTTTCTGTATTTTTTTATATAGTTTTCTTTATTTTCTTTAAAAATAATTACTAAATAAATAAATCATTTTTTATTTCAAAGAATTTCATTTTTGTTTTTATTTTTTATTTTTTTCTTAAAGTAGTTTTTGTTCTAGGAAATTACTTTTTTTTCCTATATATTGTAATTTTGTGCATTTTAAGTGTATGATGTTTTCATTGATACACTCATAGATGCATTATAAAATAAATATTATGTGAAAATCAAGCAAGAAAAAAAAATAAATAAATAAAAATAATACGATAAATGTGGAGCAAAGATCAAAGATTAAAACTTTCAAAGCAAGCAAGCAAACAAGCAAGTATAATATAATGTTTAACAATAGATATTTGAAAATTTGTGACAAAATTTTATAATTTCCTTTCTGTTAAGAAAAATCTATTTGGTATTACCTAAATAAAATACTTTTAAAATAGTTTTTTTTTTTATTTCAGATAATCTAAATTAGTGCATTTTTTGACTTTTTATGAAAAGATATGCAGAAAAGTAGAGAGATGATATGACCCCAAAAAGATAAAAAAAAAAATTAAAAAAAAAATGTACTATTTTAATTTTTAGTACAACCCAAACAAGCACGCTAACCACATTTTTTTTATTTAATGTATAATATTTATATTGATTACCTTTTTCAGGTTTATTTTTTAAAGTATTTATATAGAAGTAAAAAAATGTTGGAAAATGTTTGAGACCCCCTGTGGGGTTGCCCCCCGCATCTCCAAAGTGATCATGGTCCTCCATATATGTATGGGGCCTATTCATGTATGTGTGGGATCCACATCATCAGTTGTCCAGATTTGTGAGGGTCTTGTGGAAGTGGGGGTCTCAATCATTATTCAAAAATGTCGTTAGGAATAAATTTTTTTCTTAATTTAGTTATAAATTTTGCCTATACATTGTTTTTAAATTTTGAATAAAAGCAAACATAAAATAATTGATTGAAGATATGCTGCATCTGTTACATTCCTTTTTTTTTATGCCGAAAACAAAAAGAAAAAAATTGATATTTAAAAATTGTAATTCACATATATACAAATAATTGTAAACACAAACCCTGCATAGCACGGGTAGAACACTAATTCACTATATAGAACTAACATATTTAACCAATACTTTTGATTTAATAATAGTGTGAAATTGTGAGTTCAAATAGCTTAATACCTTTTGTGTTATTGTCCTTCTAATAACTAACAAACTAAGAGCATCTCCAATGGATGGCTAAATCAGCTGCCAAAGCCATAATATAGCAGCTTGGGCAATCTTGGCTTCTC